AAACCACAATGAGATACCATCTCATACCAGTTAGAATGGCAATTATTAAAAAGTCAGGAAACAACAGGTACTGTACTTATTTCTTAACACAGTTATATATCCATGCACATGTAATATGTAATTCTTATATATTCAATACTTGTTATATAAGAAATTAAAAGAATGAAGTTATGTAAAAAATTAAATGCTAGGTCTATTCTCAGCCAACGTCCCCTTCAATTGCACTCCACAAGCCTATGTCCCAATATTGGGAACATCTTGCCATGTGGAAGATAAATCTAGTGTTTAAAAATACCCAATTTTATAAAGCATGGCCCCTACATACCACACAGCTTCTTCCTTTGGTGCTCAACTGATGAAACAGTAATTGATTCTCCTCTAAGTTGCAGTTGCAATTATAATCCAGTTGCAGTTATAACCCAGTTGCGTTACAATCTAGTGACAATTTCTAAGAACTTATCCATGATGCTAGTGAGGACTTACTGTACTCCTAGAGCCACCTATCCCTCTCGAGGATTCTTTTGACAGTCCTGTTGGAGAATCAATTACTGATTCATTAGTTGAGTGGTGACTCAGACTGGTCACCTTTATTTTTCTGAGATCCTATGGACATCACTGACAAGGTTCCCATACAAGCTTCTTTCCAAGTATTACCCAAATGTCCCCCATGCTCCCACAGAGCCACTTATAAAGACAATTGTTTTGTCTCTTCAGACTGTGTTTTTGCCTTTAAGTATACCTTATAATTGTTCTGTTGAAAGGCGGACAGGATGTACTGGGTAAAAGGAGCTATAGGGAATAGGCCTTTAGTGATGTAGTGATAAGATGTGGGTTGGCAAGCATTCTATATTCCTATGATTAGGTCTCAGTCTTTTGGTGAGTCTGCACCCCTGGACTGTGAATTTTGCAGGTGTTTCTCAGCATTCCCCCTCTTCGTTAGGTAGAATAGAGTGGCTGGAAGGGGCTGACTTTGTGAGTTTTCCTTTCCCCAGGTAAATTAGGCTCTGATATAGCCCCGGTAGGTTAGGTTCTGGTAGAATAGTTTATCTTAGGGCAGGCCTTGTTAAGAACAGAATCCTTTGATATATTTCAGAATTCTTTCTTTCTTTTTTGAATGTTTTGCTGTTTTTGTTTTGTTTTGTTTTGTTTTTTGTGTGTGTTTTTTTTTTCCTGCTCCACTGGAAGTATTAGGGGATATTTTCTGATACTCACTTTCAGACCTAGTAGAGCTCCTGGGGACAGAATTCACAAAATTATGGGGATGACTGAGCACTTATTTCAGCTCTCAGTACAACTGGTCTCCCTGGACATTTTAAATCACAGAGTTGTTCACGCTGAGCCTCCAGCAATTTGTCAATTAAAGTTTGGGTCTTCCTACTCCAGCACTGACTCCCTCAGAGTCTTGTGCTTGTGGGTTTCTGCTCACATAACTGGAGACTGCCTGTATCAGCCTGTTTCTTTCCAATATGGGAGGCAATGGTTTGTCGTATGACCTCAAATCTCTGACAAATCTAAGCAGAGTTATTGATTTTTCAGTTTGTTCAGCTTTTTACTTGTTTTGGGGATGGAATGACAACTTCCAAGCTTCTCACTTGCCAAACCAAAACCTGGAAGCCTTTATTGTAATTTTAATATCTATATTATCTGTAGTAATGTCACCTCTCTTATTTTTGATACCGACATGTTTGGTCTTACCTCTTTTCTTCCTGATCAGACTGACTAGAATTTATCAATTTTTAAAATTTTCTTAGAGAACTAGCTTTTGTTTTTATTTTCTTTACTTTTTATGTTTCATTGATTTCTACTCTGGAATTTATTATCTCCATTTGCCCGATTACTCTGGGTTTAGTTTGCTCTTCTAAGCTTTTAAACACCACTTAGTCAAATGCTTATTCTATATTTGTGTAAGTCTGATCCAATAGCTCTACGTCCATGTTAGTGTTCTTTAGTTTTTTAACCAACTCAGAAGTAACACGAATGCAAAATAATTCCCAGGTGAAGTCCTTGTTTTCTCAATTTGGAAATATTGCCCTTCCATGAGTACAGTTAAACCTTAGACTAATTTCTTCCCAATTGAAGTGAGGGTGAAACAAGATATTAAACATTTTCTAATAGATTTTACTATCTCTTCTGCTCTAAAAGTACTCACTAATGAAAAATTCATTCCTCTGTTGACATTTTATTATAAGTTCTTAACTGAATACTCATTTCAGCCAACCTGAATCTCTGGTTTCCTTAATACGCTTATATTAATAAACTAGAAAGTTGGAAAATAATTTCAAAAATACGCACTTAATTTCATACAGCAAAGCAAAAATGGTTACATAATTCTATAGAACCAAAACCCTGAAATCATAGAACTTTTAACCATAAAAACTCAAAAAATCTATCTTTTTCTCAAAAAGTTACACAATAATGAGTAGGTTAAGACCAAACAGTGAATTCCTCTGTGGTCCAAAAAGATTATCTGTGGAGAGCAGGTACTCTAGAGCAGAGTGTCCCTGCTCCTGGGCCACAGACCAGTACCTGCCTCTGGCCTGTTAAGAACCAGGCTTCACAGGGAGGTGAGTGGCAAGCAGAGAGCAAAGCTGAGCTCTGCCTCCTGTCAGATCAGCAGTGGCATTAGATTCTCATAAGAGCTCAAATCCTATTGTGAATGGCACAAGCGAGAGATCTAGGTTGCATACTTCTTATGAGAATCTAATGATAAATTAATGCACTTGAATCATCCTGAAACCACCTGTGCCCCCTGCCCCATGTCCATGGAATAATTGTTTTCCACAGAACCAGTCCTTGATGCCGGAAAGGTTGGGGACCGCTGTTCTAGAGAACTATTTTCTTCCACACATATTTGTATTTATTTCAATATTCTTTCCAGATGATTTTGTTTCATCATACAGGTCACTAGGTTCTAAAATTATTAGCGAGTTTACAACTTATTACTTGTGTATTTCTTCTGCCTACCCACTCCTTCTTCCTTTCTCCAAGAGCTCCATAAATGTAGACTGTAGTGCTTAGTTTCCAGTGACAGCTTCCAAGAGTTATTCCCCATCCTGTATGTGCACGCCACTCTTGACGTCAAGTAGTACAGCTGGTTTCTCCTTTTTTTGACTCTGGTCTGCCTTAAAACTTGCTTTGGCAAGTTGAATACAGTGGAAACGATGTTTTGGGACTTTCAAGTCTAAGCCTTTAGAGAGCTGAAATTTCCCATTTTCCACTTTTCGGAACCCAACTGACAACTGCAAGGAGCCCAAGTCACAGGGTAATGCCATGAGGAGAACCAAAGTGTTCCTGTTGAAAGATTCCACTGAGCACCCAGCCAACTGCAAGCCAAGTAAGGAGCCATCTTTAAGCTTGTAACTCATTTGCTTCCCCAGATGACTTGAAGTAGAAGAACCACCCAGCAGAGTTCAGTCAACCCACAGACTTGGAAGAGATTAGAAAGTGGTTGTTGTTTTAAGTCATTTGAATGATTAGAATTATTATACGATAGCAGAAAGCTAAAGTACAGGATGACAGAATATATGGTTTTAAATTTTCTTATTATTAGGGGGGCTTGAAATAAACATTCTAAAAATTCTGCTTCCTCCCTCACAAATAAGTTAAGCAGAAAAGCTATATTGATATTTTTGAGAGGTCAAACATAGGAGATTCTTTATGAACAGGTTAATATTTTCCATGACTATGTGTACATTGCCAGGATTGTAGGACATAACATGAAAGAAAAGATAGAAGTAAAAGGCCGTAAAATTAAGATTACAACATTTGGCTGCCGTGAAGGTAGTTTTGTTGCCTAGGAAAGTACATAATATATTTACATGTATATAGTAACAAAATACTTTTAGGGCTATTACTGTCTTTTCTAGTATAATTAGCACACTTATTGAATCAAAAGTAATACGACAAAATTCAGAACTATTTTATTTATTTTAGTCAAGGAATAATGAGAAGGGGAAAACCCTAAAATGTTAGAATGACCTGACTTTTCACAAGAAAAATTACATTCAAAAAATGTCTTATTCATAACTTATTACAATAGTTACTTATAATTTGCTAAATTATTAGAAGAATATGAGAAAGAAGTGATGCTATGCAGAACATGGAATATTTTGGAAAACACCAGGAAATAATAAAATAGCCCAACATAAACTAATTAGAACTGAAAACATCCATCTAATCATGATATACTGTGCATGACAATATAAAATGAAATGACTTAAAATTCCATAGTGACTTTTATGAGACTGGGAGATCAATATTAAGTTAATAAGAGGTCCACAGAAATGAAACAGGGTCAAACTTGCTTTAGAATCATTTCCTTTAGACTTGCTGTATACGTTGTACTTACTTTAGTAAATAATTTGCAGCCTCATATGTAAGTTATTTCTGACATAGACTAGCAGGATATGGTCATGAAATATCCAATTCTAAAATCTTTTGGCTTATAGTTCTGGTGGAGAGGTAAGTGAAGTTTACCAAAGCCGTGAATTGTCATTAAGCTAAAGGAGATGTGAATCTGAACAAGGAAAGCAGACTCACAGTAATCATAGTGGAGTGTTTTATGGCATGGATGAGATATAAGGGAAAAAACAAACAGCCTGCCCATCCATTTGGACACTACTACATTTAGAAAAAATTATCAGAGAGCTTGTGAGAAAATTTGGCAGGGCTGTGCAACGTGCCTCCAAACCACTGTTCAGCATAAATCTAAAGTATCTAAAATAAAAAAGTGTCTGTGTTTACCTCTGCTAACCAAAACTTTGTAAATGTACATGCATTGTGACCCACATATCCTATTTCAAGGATTAAAACCAAGGATATACAGGCAAAATCTTTTCAGGATGTCTGCATAAAGATATTTATTGCAATACTTTTTGTAATAATATTTTTAAAAGACATAAAGCGGTGTCCATCAGTAAGAAACCTTAAAAATAAATTGTAGTATATACATAAAATGGAATAAAATTAGTCATAAAAATAATGAGGTTGAGGTTGAGTTGTATGTATTTATATGGAAATATATCTAAGACCTTAATTTTAGGAGGAAAAGCAAAATCCTGGAAGATGGAGTATGATCTTTTGCAGGGCGGGGGTAATGTGAAAGAATATATACATAGATGCATATATTTGGGCACACACATTGATTTTCTAAGAGGAAACTGACTCTTAAATTTCTAATGGTGGTTACCTTTGGGAAGTAGGACTAGGTGGAGTAGAGAAGGTATCACTTTCATTTTATACTTGCATATATTGGTTCAATATTTTGAACTTTAACTTGTATTAATTTTTTAATTAATAAAAGCTGATACTAACCAGGTTCGTTGTGCCCATATGAAGAAAGCAATCACTGTGATGGTTGGTTTTGCAAAAGAGAAAAGGGTTAGTCACAAGCAAGGAGGAGGAAGAACAGCTCTCAAACCAACCTCCCTGAAGACAGGGCTTAAGAATATGCACGGGTTAGAGAAGCGGAGTGGTCCAAGGTGTGGAGAAAGGTGTTTGGCAGTAGGAAAAAGCAATCAGTGGTCTGTGCAAGCCTAATCGGGGAATTTACCTCTTAACAAAACACGTGTTCAGAAAATGGTGGCCTTAGCATGATCTGAGGATGAAGTTTCTGGCCGTCCGATATTGAAAGGTCAACTCTCGGGCATTTCTTCCGGCCCAGTTGAAAGGTCGGTGGTCTCAGCTGGATTAAACTGAACAGGAGGTGCCGCAAGTTCCTGAGAAACAACGTAAGTGACAATCCCCATGGTGATGGTAATAATGCCATATATTATTAATATATTACCATCACCATAGTATAATATTTATACACATAAATGTTATCTATAAGAAAGCCAGGGAAGGTTAAGTTACAGCAGTCAATGGTGGTGCTTTCAGCTACATGGGTAAAAAATATTTAAAAAATAAAATAAAAAGTGGGCGACCAAAAGCAAGAACAGGTTAAGTTTGGCAGACATAATGAGATCAGCCCATGGGTTTCAAAGTTATCTGGTGGGGAATAGGGACCATATCTCTTCTTTGAATTAACTATATTTTAAAACACTGTGTTAAATTAAATATACAAATAATGCTTCACATTTTTAAAGACATTTCAAAATAACTTCCTGGCTTTAATTCAGACTTTTCCTACAAAAATACCATACATTTAACTTAAGTTGGCCTCAGATATTTGATATGACTCCTTAGAGAGAAGTTGAAGAAGGCTTCAATAAAATGTTTCTTTCATCTTTCAAAACACTTATTAAATATCTACCATGTATAAAGCACTACATAACCATTGGATGTAACATTCGACCTGTGTTTTCAAGACACAAATGCATTTTCTAGGAGGTAAATGTGAGAAAGATCATTTTAGACAAAATAATGTCCATGAAAGGACATTCTAGGTTCAAGAAGCAGTGCATTCAGTATAATTATACAAGGTGCAGTCATGAGTGAGGAAACCAAGAAGGTAACTTAAGGTCACACCTTCAAGTGTCAGTAATACAATTTTAAAAATGTTTAGATATCTTCATTTGGTTACTGATTCATTAATTCAATAAATACGTATTGTGCGCTTATTCTCAGTTTTGGTTTCAGAAAAAAAACAGATTTTGAGACAGCAATGTATGAAAGTAGTTCATTTAGGACATGATTTCAGGTCACATTGCAAAGGAATAAGGAGATGTGAAAGAGAAGAAGGGAGAGCCAATAAATCCTGTGGCAATCTTTGGTAACAGTCAAAACAACTAGGGTTCAATTTTCCTCAAGAACCCTCAGACAAATGGTGTGGAAAACACTTCAGAATTGTTTCACCAGGGATCTAGAATGCTCTGAAACTTAATTAAATATTTGTGTATCATTTGTAAAAGAATATATAAATGGATATAGTGAATTATAAACAATAAGTAAATGCATGGGAATGATCGGTGAGAGAAAGAAGAATATAAAATAAGAGAACCAAAAATAAATTCTCATGGAATCCTAAAATTTAATGTGTATACTGAGAAGATAATGCCAGAGAAAAAAAGATGAAGATAATCCTAAACCTAAAGAACATGTCAAAATTAATGTTATGGAAATCTGGAGAAACATCAAGGAGAATGTGATCAATAACAATCAACATTAATGTACTAAATATCTGTTAAATGGCCACTAGGTGTTAGACGTTGTTAGAGCAAATAAGGATAGATTAAAAACAAGTCATGCTTGCCTCCTCATAGGTTTTTCTGGAAGGATGCACCCAGAAATACAGGTCTATCAAGGAATATAGATCTTTAAGTGGAACATCTCAGGAGACCAAACAGAATCCAGACGATATAGGGAAAGTTAATGCCCAATAAGGAGCCAATAGACTAAAGAAAATGAAGGGATCACAGTGCTGAATGTCTTGTGAGATCAAACGGCAGCTGGATATTGAGTGTCGAGACAGTTGGAAGATTGCAAGCAGTAGCCAAATTTATCCCCTCATATACAGTCTTGAAATATGTGAAGCAAAAATGTAACAGAACCAAAAAAGTTATAAACGTACATGACCAAAAGCATAATTTTCAGGTGTAGTGCAAAATGAAAATGTGGGACACCTACTTTAAAAATTTTCTAAGAATTTCAAGAAGGCTATTGCAGAATATTAAAGCAATCATGGGTCCTGCTAAGTATGGGGCCCTGTGTGACTGTACAAATTGTATGCTCATGAAGATGGTAATGTGGTTATTTACATAATCTTGATATATATAAAGCAAAAATTTTGACAGAACCAAATGGAGGAATTGACAATTCAAGTCTCACAGATATTAAAATGTAGTTCTCAAAGTCATTGACCCAGCACAAGATTCTAAAGAACGTGGAAAATTTTAAAAGATTTGTCTAAGGATATTTATATAAAACCTACACTCAACAATAATAGAATACACATTCCTCTCAAGCAAACATTATGCATTATAAAACTTGGCCATATTTTCAGAAATCCAAATCCTAAAGGTTTGTTATCATATCAATCATATTCTCTGACTAAAATGCAATTGACTTAAACCTAAATAATGAAGCTATTACTTAAAAACCATAAATTTATAAGTGTAGAAACTCATTTAATAACTCCTGGAATAGTAAAACAATTCATAATTGAATAAACATAATTACAACTAACTGATTATTAAGACACTTCATATGCAATATTATAAAAAGTAGGAATTTTATAGCCTTACAGGAAAAATGTAGTCATATGAGCTTATATTATGGAAGAAGAAAGGCTGTAAATCAATGAGACAAGCATCCCAATTAAGATATAAGAAAATAATTAAACCAAAGAAAATAGTTTAAAACTAAATTAAATATAAACAAACAATATAAAAGAAAAGACTAACAGAACTGAAAGTCAGCACTTGGGGAAAAAAAATGAATAAAGTAGGAAAATTTGAGAAGATTGACCAAAAATAAGAGAGTAGGTAAAACATAAAAGTCAAAGAAGAGGACATGGAGATACAACAAAATAAAGACACATTAAAACTGATAAAATGTTATAAATATTTTACCTTTATAAGTTAAAGCCCTACATAAAGTGAATAATTACTTAGAAAAAGATATTTTAAAGAATTATTTATTGTCCTAAACCCATTCAAGGAATTGAATTGATATTTCATAATCTATGTCTACTGGTCCCATTTTTAACACTTGTTAAATAGAAAAATCACAAGGCGATCTTGATTATTAAGACAGTTTTAAAAATCCTACATAAAGTTAGCAAATAAAATCTAGCGATGTAAAAATTATTGATATAGCATGATTATATTAGGATTATTTAAAGCACACAAAAATGGTTTTGATTTAATAAATAAATCTGACTGTTGGTGCTGGCCAAGATGGAAGAGGCCCATTCCTCTCAGGTCTTCATTCTCACAACTAAAATATTTTGGAAATAAATGGGATCCAACTTTTACAATGCAATGCACAAAATGCCCAGGATACAATGGCAGGTCAATTATTGCACTAAGAACCAGGAAAATAACTGGTGTGAGAAAAGAAAATCAATAGATACCAACAATGAGATAATTCAGATGTTGGAATTATCTGACAAAGATTTTATAGCAGCCATCATAGAAATTTTCCAACAAGCAATTTAAAACATATTGAAAGAAATGAAAAATAATAGAAGGGCTCAGCAAAAAATAGAATTTATTTAAAGAATAAGACAAATTTACAGAACTGAAAACTATAACTAAATTTTTAAAAATACATTAACAGATGGACATAATAGCAGCAAAAATATGATAGATAAAAGAATCAGTGAACTTAAAGATAGAATGACAGAGATTATCTAAACTTAATAACAGAGAAATAGAGTAAAAAATGAACAAACTCTCAATTACCTGTGGGACAATAACAAAAGATCTAACATGCCTATCATTGAAGTACAGAAGGAAAGGAGAAAGAGTTTGGGACTGGAAAAAATATTTGAATAAATAATGACTAAAAATTTTCCAGATTTAATGAAAAGTATAAACCTGTAGATACAGATGCTAAGTAAAATCCATAAAGGATAAATACAAAGACTCTGTGTCGAGACACATCATATTTAAAGTTTTGAACACTAAAGACAGGAAATATCTTAAAATATGTTAGAAAGAAACAATTTACCAATTTCCATGGGGGATTAGTTCCAGGACCCATGGATGCTCAAGTCCCTTATAAAAATGGCATGGTATTATATATAACCCATGCACATCCTCTCATATATTTTAAATCATCTCTAGATTGCTTGTAATATCTAATACAATGTAAATACTATGCAAATTGCTGTCATACTGTTATTTTAAAATTTGTATTATTGTATTATTTTTATTTTTATTGATTTTTTTCCAAATATTTTTAATCTGCAGTTGGTTGAATCCCTAGGTATGGAACCCGCGGATACAGAGGGACTATATTAGTACTTACAAGAGGACTCCAGTTTGAATGACAGTAGATTGCTCATCTGAAATACAGACCCCAAAGCAGCACAAGGTATTTCAAGTGCTGAAAGAAGATGAAAAAATAAAACTATCAAATGCAGAGTCTATACCTAGTGAAACTATCTTTCCAGAATGAAGAGAAAATTAAATATATTCTCAGATAAAGATAAGCTAAGAGAATTTGTCCGTAATAAAATATATCATTAAAGTAAGGCAAAAGGAAATTCTTCAAGAAAAGAATAATAGAAATGAAACTTCAGAAAAGAAAAAAACAAAACAATTAGTAAAATTGAGATAAATATATTAAATGATTCTCATGAATTTCTTAAATAACATTTGATTGTTGAAGCAAAAATTATTCTCTGATGTAACATTTAAGGTATATAGAGGAATGCTTGAGACAATTATATTTTAAAAGTGGAGCAGATAAAGGGACCTAAATGGAAGTAAACTTTTCATACTTCACATGAGGTGGTAAAATATTGAGTTTAGTAAATTGCGATAAGTTTCATTTGGAAATTATAATACTTAGAGCAACCACTACTAAAACCATACAAAATCCTATGTCCCAAATCACAGTTAATTAAATCAAAATCCAATTTTAAAAATAATTAAACAACCACATGAGGTAAGAAAAGGGAAACAGGAGAAACAGAAAACCAATAATAACAGGGCCTTACTATTAGACCCCATTTAATATTATTAATTAAATAATAATATTTAAGCCCTAATATGCTAAAAATTACTTTGAATGCAGTGGTCTCAACACGTCAATGAAAAATCAGAAATTGGCAAAGTAGATTTTTAAAAAATGATCTAACATTCTACCTGCAAGAAACTGATTCCATATAACATGAGCTGCTCTAAAGCATAAGATCTTGCACATGTTTTGTTAGATTTAGATTTAAGTCTTTCATTTTATTTGAAGTGGTTGTATTTGCTACTATATTTTAAATTTCAGTTTCCATATTTTTGTAGAAATTTGCTGATTCTTTTTTTTACCTACTCATATCTATTTTTGAGCCTCTCAGGTGAATTTTTCATCTCAGTTATTTTACTTTTCAACTGCAGAATGTATATATGTGGCTTCATATGTACTTGGTGTCTATTTTCTTATTGATGTCTATTTGGCGAGAAAGAGTTCTCTTTCTCTCTTCTAGGTCAGTGGTCCCCAACCTTTTTGGCACCAGGGAACAGTTTCCTGGTAGACAATCTTTGTATTGGTGGGTGCAGGGGTGTGGGTGGTTTTCGGGATGAAACTGTTGCACCTCGGATCATCAGTCATCAGTTAGATTCTCATAAGGAGTGCACAAGCTAGATCCCTCTCATATGTAGTTCACAATAGGGTTTGCACTCCTATAAAAATCTAATTTCACTGCTGATCTGACAGGAGGCAGAGCTCAGGTGGCAAAGTTTGCTTACCCACCGCTCACCTCCTGCTGTGCAGCCCAGGTTCTAACAGGCCATGGACCAGTACCAGTCCGGGCTGAGGGTTGAGGAACCCTGCTTTAGACATAGTTTTATTAGCTCTTTGAAAACACTTAGAATAGCTTACAACATCTGTAAGTACAATATCTGGGCTTCCTTGGGACAGCTTCAAATGAGTGACTATTTTTCTGTGTGTGGGTCATATTTTCTTCTTGTTTTGCATGTTTCACATTTTTGCTGAATACTGAACATTCTAAACACTATATGTGGCAAATCTGGGGTTTGCTGTTGTCATTACTTATTATAGTTTCTGTTTGTTCAGTGACTTTTCTGCACTAAATTTGTAACGTCTATATATTTTGTCACATGTGGTCCTTAGATCTTTCCCTAGCTAGTTCAATAGCGAGCTAACAAAGATTGTCTTAATGCCTGGAATGAAAACGTCTCCCAGTCTTTACCAGGGGTTCTGTATATCTGTTGGGGCATGTAATTAACACTCAACCAGGCAGTTGACAATTCTGTATTACCTCTCTCTTCCTGCTTGCACAGAGCCTCAAAGTCAGTGAACATCAGAATGTAGGGACTTCTCAGGCCATTTGGGTACATATGCACAACCCTGAGCATGCGCATAGCCTTATGCATGCACACAACCTTATGTATGTGTGTAGTCTTTTAGATATTCAAAAAAATGTTGGAGCTTTTCCAAGTCCATATGAATATTTAAGTTTTCAACTGTTTTGTTCAAGTTTTTTGATTTGTCTATTTTTGCCCAACCGCTATCCACCACCTCAAGCAGTCATGACGTTAAACACTTTGCTGTAATTGTTTTCACCAAATGTCTCCTGGGGAAAAGCTTGAGTCACATCAAATATGGATAATCTTGCCAATGGGGTCTTCCAGGTAACCATCCAACTGGTAAAAGAATAAGTCTGACTGGGCACAGTGGCTCAAACCTGTAATCCCAGCACTTTGGGAGGCCGAGGCAGGCAGATCACATGAGGTCAGGAGTTCAAGACAAGCCTGGCCAACGTGTTGAAACCACGTCTCTACTAAAAATGCAAAAATTAGCTGGACGTGGTGTCAGGCACCTGTAATCCCAGCTACTAGGGAGGCTGAGGTAGAAGAATTGCTTGAACCCAGGAGACGGAGGTTGCAGCGAGCTGAGATCGCGCCACTGCACTACAGCCTGAGTGACAGAGCTAGACTCCGTCAAAAAAAAAAAAAGAAGAAAGAGAGAGAAATAAAGAAAGAAAGAGAGAGAGAGAAAGAAAGAAAGAAAGAGAGAAGGAGGGAGGGAGGGAAGGAGGGAGGGAGGGAGGGAGGGAAGGAAGGAAGGAAGGAAGGAAGGAAGGAAGGAAGGAAGGAAGGAAGGAAGGAAGGAAGGAAGGAAAAAAGAAAGAGAAAGAAAAGAAAGAGAGAAAGAAAGAGAAAGAAAGAAAGAAAGAAAGAAAGAAAGAAAGAAAGAAAGAAAGAAAGAAAGAAAGAAAGAAAGAAAGAAAAGAAAGAAAGAAAGAAAGAGAAAAGAAAAGAAAGAAAGATTGGGAATGAAGCTTTGAAAGGGCCCCAACACCACACAGCAGTTATTTTTCAAGGCTGCCACAGAGTAGTGGAAAATGGGAGATGGAACTAAGGCATGTTAAAATGCAATAAAACTCTCTATTTTTATCAAGTTTCATCATTTATCTTGAAAAAAAAAATGCTCACTTGGTTGCTGCAAGCCTTTGGTTAATTTCCAAAGTCCGGAAAATGTTGGTTCTTACAATGTCTCCAGTTATCTCATTGCTTTTATGGAGGAAGGAGTTTTTAGTGAAACATACCCCACATATTGCTGACATCCTCTACATCTGTTCACGACGTAATCTCTTACAGTAGGAACTAAAGAAAACATCTTTATTCTGCTAAAGGACATTGGTAGCAAATATCTGTTCTGGTGAAATATTGAAAACAACATATTCAGAATCAGAATCAAGACTGCCCAAGAATCAGAATCAAGACTGCCCACTGTCATCAAAACTACCAACATTACTAGAATTGTTAGCTTCAAAAACAAGAAAAGAAAAATAAAATTACAGCATACACAATTTGGAAAGCAAGCAACAAAAGTATTATTATTATAATCATATAATAAAATTACCTACATAGAAACCCAAAAGATTCCAGTGAAAATGAATTAGAATTATTAAGATAGATTAACAATGATGCTGAGTGCTAAATCAATACACAAAAGAATTTGCATTTCTACATAAAAATAACAACTGTTTAGTAAATTTAATAAGAAGAAACATACTATCAAGCTTATATAAACAAGGCAGTGTAGTATTGGTATACAGATATACAAAAGTAATCAATGGGTAGAATGAGAGTCCAGAAGTAGCCCCACAATTACATGGTCAGTTAATTTTTGATGAAGTTGCCAAAGCATTTCAATGGGGAAACATGAATCTTTTCAACTATTATTGCAGAAAACATATGCAAAAGTAATCACTATATATGTTTATTTGACCCCTACCAAACATCATATACAAATATTTATTTGAAATGAATGAAGGGTTTGTATTTAAGAGAGAAAGCTATAAAACTACTAGAAGAAAACAGAGTATCTTCACAGCTGTGATGATAGGAAAGTGAGGAAAAATTAAATGAAACACAAAAGCACGAACCGTAAGAAATACTATTAAATAAATTAGACTTTGTAAAATTTTAAGTGTCTACACATCCAAAGACACTGGGAAAGGCTCAACAAAACCTCTTGCTAACTATACTATCTTAGTTAAAGGTTTAAATATCTGGTAGAATACTCTCTTCCCCACTTCTTTTCCAAAAGTCCCTTGGCTGTTCTCTACTTTTGCTATTTCATAAAAATCCTAAAATCAGCTTGTCTAGTTTCCTCAACAACAAAAATCCCAGAAAGCAAAAAAACCAATTGGTACTGGAATTGCTCTGAATCAATCCAATATTTTTTTGAAGAATACAAGCATGACTAAATTGGGTGTTCCTATCCAAGTATCTGAATATTTCTTAACTTCTTTGGGTTTTCTTTACCATCTTTCAATAAAATATGATTTTTTTCTTAAAGGGTTTTTGAATTGCAAATGTTCAATTTTTTTTTACCTTTTATCTATTTCTTTAAACATTTAAGTGTAATTTACTTACAGTGAAATGTAAGCATATCAGTCCATGACTCCAGTGAAATGCAAGCATATCATTCCATGCAGTGAAAGAGATAAACTGCAATATATTAATATGAAATAATTCTATATGTCAGTGAAAAATAAATGATCTAGAACAGGGGCCAACACAATCCTGAGCCCACCACGTATTTGTTGTAAATAAAGATTTATTGGAACATGGCCATGCATTTATGTATTATCTAGTTCTTCTTTTGTGCTGCAGTCAGTGATACGTAATTGTGACAGAGACTACCTTGCCCAGAAAGCCTAAAATATGTCCTATCTGACCCTTCATAGAAAGACTTTGCCAACATGTGCTCTGGAACAATTCATATTCACACAAATGAAGCTCTAAACAGTATTCTTAAGCAGATAGGTAAACATCAGAGAAAAATATAATTTTATTCATGTAGGTTCAAAAAAGACAAAAATAAAGTTTTATTCTCAGGCAGGTGTACACAGGTAATAAAACTGTTAGGAAAAGTGAAGAAATGAATAGAACAATGTTCAGGCTTGCAGCTACTTTTGAGGATAAAAGAGAATTCTCTCAGGTAAGTGAATTCAGGCTTCTCTGACACTGAGCATGGTTTACGTGTTACAATAGCCTATCAATGTATGTATGGTTGTTCATTTTATTATTCTTTAAATTCTGCCTTTAGAGTTTATATTTTTTCACATGCAGGATATATGTAAATAACTTTTTTGTTTTTAAGACAGAGTCTCACTCTTGTGCCCAGGCTGGAGTACAGTGATGTGATCTTGGCTCACTGCAACCTCCACCTCCAGGGTTCAAGCAATTCTCCTGTCTCAGCCTCCCAAGTAACTGGGATTATAGGCACCTTCCATCACACTCAGCTAATTTTGTTTTTATCAGTAGAGATGGGGTTTCACCTTGTTGGCAAGGCTGGTCTCGAACTCCTAACCTCAGTTTATCCTTCCACCTTGGCCTCTCAAAGTGCTGGGATTACAGGCGTGAGCCACTACACCCGACCTTAAAAAGTTATAAATAACTTAAATAACTTTACTTTCTAAGGTCGGGTGTAGTGGTTCACGCCTGTAATCCCAGCACTTTGGGAGGCTGAGGAGGGCGGGTCACCTGAGTTCAGGTGTTTGAGAGCAGCCTGAGCAACACGGTGAAACCCAGTCTCTACAAAAAAATACCAAAATTAGCCAGCTGGGGTAGCACATGCCTGTCGTCCCAACTATTTGGGAGGCTAAGGCGGTGGATTGTTTGAGCCTGGGAGGTGGAGGTTGCAGTAAGCTCAGATTGCGCCACTGTACTCCAGCCTGGGTGACAGAGTGAGACCCCATTTAAAATAATAATAATAATAATTTTTTAAAAGAACTCTAAAACTTTATTATTTTAATACACACAGTTATATATAATTTGAACACAGAGCTATCTCAAAATTGCTGATCCGTTTTTATGACTAAGGTTATATTGAGTACATATCAAGTACCTAAATTATCTCATTTCTAACTCACAACATAAAGTAAGGTAGAAACTATTAAATCCCTGTTGCATTAATGAAAAAGCCGATGCAAAGAGAATGGAAGTAACTGGCTCAAGGTCAGTCAGTAAGTTGTCTGTATTTAATCAAAAGTCTCTCTGACTTCAGTGCCCAATATTTTAAACACAGGAGAGACTGCCCATTAAAAATACAAATGCATAAAATTATTCCAATTTGATATTTTTAACTTATTGTTTGCTACTTCATGGATTCCACATCTGGATAATCCTATCCTCTGTCAGGAAAAATTATCTGTAATTTTATCAATCAGAATTTGGCAGTTAACTAAGATAACATTATGTAAAGAGCAAACATTTAGCAATCAAAGTACTAAATAAAATATAAGAACCTAAAATAGAATTAAGAAAGTATATTTTGAATTTCAAGGTAAAGCCTTGGATCATGAAAAACTAAGATTATATTTTGATTATTCAGTGAAGTATTTGAAATAATGCCTTAAATAATATTATTGGGAAATACGCGTAAACAGTTATTTTACTATTTGTAAGGTTTCATACAGCAGGTGTCTATTTTTCCCTATACAGTGTACTATCTTCTTTTCTCATCTACCTTCTGAACAGTTCTTTATTCAGCATCTTTTTGACAAAAATTCCTATGCTGTTAGTTCATATTCTCAGTTTCAATGCCAGAGATATCCTATAAATTCATAGTGGAAGCCAGATTTATTCATTTCTGCAATACTACATAGCAGAACTTTGAATCTAGAAAGCCACTCACCAGCTGTGTGATGTTGGGTGTTCACCTCGCAGTACACGTCATGTGTTTATTTGGGCTCACTCTGGGATCCTGTCTCCAACATTGCTCACTGTAGCATCCAGGACCCAACTATAGGTGTGAGTCATTGCCTGCCCCTCTTGGTCTAGAATTAGAACATCCCATACAAAATATTAATTCATGTTCTGAGGAATTCACTTCTAAATGTGAGTCTTAAGCATTGTTTTGGAATGTATATATTTTTTAAGTGATAGTGGTATTTTTAAAAAATTCACATTATACAATTGCAAGTCATACTATTTACATTATAAAATTCTATATAAATTATAAGATATTTTTAGGTTAAGCAGTCAAGAGAAGAGCCAGGCTTGAACTGTGACCTAGAGACCTCACCTGAATGCACAGATTATTGTGTTGTCAAATAAGTAATTTTGCCTGCCTTAGCAAGCAGTCCAAGGTCCCTCATGATTGCTTTGGCCTTAGCTACTGAAATAGATCGTGAAAACAGCTGAAATTTTTCAGTCATTCTGCCTAAATCCTAGGTTATGACTTATTACTGCAGTCATAAATGCCGTAGGTCCAAACAGTTCAAAATAATAAACATTTTCTCCAGCAGCAAATATTTATGGTGATCAGGTGGTGAGAATATGTAGTGTCTGAATGACCACGCAGTATAGGACACCAGATAGAACACTGCTATGCAAATCTTAGAGAGATGGTTGAAAAAAATATAGAGAAGACATGAACCCTATACTTCCAAATCTTATAGTGTCATCCATTGACAGCTAGTTGTATCAGCATATTTTATCAAGGAGTCTACAAGCAATTTATCTATCTTTTTGACATCATTGCCCATGATTCTAAAGCTTTACCCATTACATTTATCTAAATTTTTAAAAAGATAACACTAATGGCTGTAGTCTTTATGCATTTTGTGTGTTTGTTTATATAGGGATTCACACTATCATAAATGATGCATAGTTGTACCATCTACACTTTTTCTATTTTTTGAAATTTAGAGTTGAAGAGTTTATATCATGCAATTGAAAATCAGATTGACTCAAATGTGAATAATGCCTACCTAATTTTTGCTTTTGTGTTTTATCATTTATATAAGGCCTGCTTTCACAATAGACTTTTAAGAGATTAAGCTTAAATAACCAAATAAAACAATAAATTTTATTCAGCTTTAATTAATATTAATAACATTAATTCTGTGAGATAAGAGACTAATGATAGTTACCTAGCAAAGATAAGTGATCAATCAGGTTAGAGTAGTAGTTTAACTGTTTAGGCTTTACTGATGTACGAATTCTTGTGAGGTAAATATTTAGAGCAAACACATTTTTGAAAATAATAATAATTCAAATATGGACTTAAACACAGGCTCCAGTAGATTGCATTTGGCTAAGACTCACACGTTGATTGTAAATCCAGGGTTTATAGACATTACTTACGTTTTCTAAATTTAGAGACTGTCTCCTTCTACTTGATGTATATTGGGCCTATTTGTTTCAAATAAAACTTTGTTAAGAACAAACAAAAAACAGAAATCAAGGTTAGTTAAAAAAAAGGAGAGTAAAAAGGAAGAGTTTTCTTTCCATTAAGTCTACGGTAAATAGGTAAGATAAATTAAGGGAAAGTAGTTTTCAGTAATCTATGTATTTATTCAAACTGTTGTCTCAGTGTCCAACCCAGGAGATAATTAAATGTGGAGCATTATAAATCCCACCTCTATAGGGATCCTCTCTCACCTCGTTCTGTTACCAAAACACCAGAGGTTCAGTTTAGGTTCTGCTGCTTGCCACACAGAAAGTCAATCATTAAGACGGCAAGTATTGCTAGGGAAGAAGGATTTATTCGGGTACTGTACCCAAGGAGAAAGGGAAGTAATTCTGAAATCCATCTCTCCGACTGACTAAACTTAGGGGTTTATATAGCAGGGAAGAAATGTAACTATGTGTGGGAAAGCAGGAATTAAGGAAGGGTAAGGAAGAGGAGTTTGTAAACAGGAATTATGATGAATTAAGGGTGTTGCAACTCATTGTCAGGATACAGTGATCTGGTAAGTTTCAGTCCTTTGATATCTTAGAGGCCTATGGGTGGGTTTCCTGAGGAAGAAGCACAGATAAGACAAATGTAAGTCTCAAGATTTCAGACCAGAGGAGTCAGTTTCTATATTTATCAAAATACCCACACACACACACACACAAAATAAATAAATAAATAAATAAATAAATAAATAAATAAAAAACAGTAGACATCAGTTCTCTGGGACAGTTGGGTCAGTTTCAGAGAGATTGATCCAAACAAATGAGGGTTACACTACCACCCACGGACTACCCTTTCATTTCCATGCAGCTAATTCTGCCTCTGAGATCTTACAACTTTAAAGAAGCTGAGGATGCTGTGTAGTATTACAATGTCTTACTGATTTCCTGCCTAGTGGATCTGTCAATACTGATAGAGGAGTGCTGAAATCTCCAAACATAATAGTGGATTCATCTACTTCTCCTTACCATTCTATTTGTTTTAGCCTCGTGTATTTTGATGTTCTGTTGTTAAGGGCATATATGTTAAGAATTGTTATGTCTTCTTGGAGAATTAAGACTTTTATTATGAAAAATTCCTCTCTTCATCACTGATAATTTTTTTTGTTCTGTAGTTGATTTTGTGTGAATTTAATACACCTACTTCAGCTTTCTTTTTATTAAATGCTAACATGGCATCTCTTTTTTCATTTTCTGCCTTCTCTGAGTATAATGGAGCATTTTACATGATTCCCTTTTCTCTACTCTTACCATATGAATTATACGGCTTTTCTTGGCCTTTTTAATGGTTGCCCTAGAGTTTGAAATGCCCGTTTGGAACTAATATAAATTTGCTTTGACATACCATTTCACAGGCAGTGCAGGTACTTTTATGACAGAGTATTCCAATTCCGCCATTGCATCCCTTATAACAGTGCTGTCATTCATTTCACTTATACATATGCTATAATTACCCAACACATTGTTCCTGTTACTACTATGGACAAACAATCATCTATTAGATGTGGTAGGAGTGAGAAAATAGTTCTCTATTAGACCATATAAGAATAAGATTTTATTTTACTTTAATTTATTCCTTCTCTGACACTCTCCCTTTCTTTATGTAGGTCCTAGTTTCTGATCTATATTATTTTCCTTCTCTCAGAACTTATTTTAAAATTTCTCTCAAAACAGGTATGTCATTTCTTGTTAGTATACCTGTCTTGAGAGAAATGTCTGAGAAAGTCTTTATATTTCTATTCTCTTTGAAGGATAATTTCAATGAATATAAAATTCTAGGTTGAGAGATTTCTTCTTTCAACATGTTAAATATTTGACTCTAGTCTCTTCTGCTTTTATGGTTTCTATCAAAAAGTCTGATATAAATATCCTTATTCTTCTATTGGTAAAATGTTTTATCCTATGCCTTCTTTCGATAATTTGTTTTTTATTTAGTTTCTGTCATTAATTTTTAAAAACTCTTAGCCATATAAATTAAATATTTTTTCTGTTCCTTTCTCTTGTGCTGCATCTTCTGGTATTCCCATTATACATATGTTGTACCTTTTGTAATTGTCTCACACTTCCTGGATATTCTAGGGTTTTTTTCCCCAACTTCTTTTTTTTTTTTTTTTTTTTTGCATTTGAGTTTGGGAAGTTTTTATTGACCTAACTTCAAGCTCATTAATTTTTTTCCTTGGCTATATTCAGTGTACTGAGGAGCTCATCAAAGGCATTCTTTATGCTTTTTATTTTCAGCTTCTCCTTTTTATTCCTTATGAGAGCTCCCATCTCTATGGCTACTTTAACCATCAATTCCTGAACACTGTCCACTTTTTCTACTAAAGCCCTTAGCATATTAATCATAGTTGTCTTAAATTCCCAATCTGATAATTCCAAAATATCTGTCATGTCTGGGTCTAGTTCTGTTGCTTGCTTTGTCTCTTTAGATTGTGTTTTTCTTACCTTTTATCATGCTTATAATGTTTTTGAAAGTTAGACATACTGTATTGAGTAATGGTAACTGAAATAGCTATGCTTTTAGTGTGCGGTGTTATGTTTATCTGGCTACAAGACAGGCTATGTTTGCTGTTCACTGTGTCTGTATTTGTCAGAGGATTCAGTTTCTGTAATATCCTTGCTTTTGTTTTGTTTTGCCATCTTTGGGTTTTTCTTTGGGTTTTTCTTCCTTAAATAGAATCAGAATCTTTCAGTTTTTTAACTGTAATCCATTCTTTTTTTTTTTTTTTTTTTTTTTTTTGAGACGGAGTCTCGCTGTGTCTCCCAGGCTGGAGTGCAGTGGCGCGATCTCGGCTCACTGCAAGCTCCGCCTCCCGGGTTCACGCCATTCTCCCGCCTCAGCCTCCGAGTAGCTGGGACTACACGCGCCCGCCACCACGCCCGGCTAAATTTTTTTGTATTTTTAGTAGAGACGGGGTTTCACCGTGTTAGCCAGGATGGTCTTGATCTCCTGACCTCGTGATCCGCCCGTCTCGGCCTCCCAAAGTGCTGGGATTACAGGCTTGAGCCACCGCGCCCGGCCTAATCCATTCTTATTTTACAGAAGCCTTATTGATGGGGGCAGTAAGGTGTATGGAGAGATTAGATCTCAGTCTTTCAGTGGATGTGTGTCCCTGGGCTGTGACCTTCAGAAATGCATCTCAGACTCCTCCTGTCTCCCTTGGATGAGACATGAAGACTAACACCTTCCTTCATGCTGGAAATCACTAGGCTCTGATGAAGTCTTTGCCTTGCTAAGTTGGCCTTCGTTGTTAACAAAGCTCTAGGTTTTCAGAAAATTTTGCTATTTCTTCCCTCTGACCAAACATGTTGGAGTTTTTTCCTGTTCCTCTGAAAATCTGGTGGGTTTTATCCTAGAGGTAAATCCTGGGAAAGTACAGAAATCTCTCTAGATTAGGCATCTGGGGGAGATTGTAACTCTCAAGCTAGTCTATACACACCCTCTGGAATTGAAGTTTTGGTTTAACTGTTCCAATGACTTCTTCTTCTGGCAATCTTATTTGTATATAATATATTCACTTGTTTTTCCAATTTTTGAGAATGCTGTTGGTCCTGTTACTTTAATTATCTGACAGACTTTTTAAGTCATTTTGGCTTGTTCAGCTTTTTTCTTGTGAGGATGAGTGATGACTTTCAAGCTCTCAGAATGGAAACTGCAAGTTGTCATACTGTGTCTCAAAATTTGTCTTCTCCAATTCAAGATACCACCCCCTTTTATGCCCTCCACTCCAGTGATTTACCATAAGTTGAGATTTGTCATCTATTCAATGAATTAAGAAAAATCTTGACTACTTCAGTCATCATAATAACTCAAAGTTGAATGAGTGAATTCTTTTATAGTATAAAAATCTAGTTATAAACACCTACATGCATATACACACACACATAAGGTGAGCTTGGGCCATCTTTTTGTTTCTGAAAACAAGAAAGATACCAAAGATTAAAGAAGCCAGTTCAAAATAATGAGAGCCATCACAAAGAGCTTATGCTGATCTAAATAGAGAGACTTAGAACATTGAAGAAAATAATAATTAAATTGATTAAACATATAAAATATATTATAAAAATTGTAAATTCATTAGTAAAAAAGAATGAGGGATTCACGAGGATGAGTAGTTAAGGGAAGGGAACAAAAGGAAGGGGACAACTCATGTGGAGATTACTACAGGCACCAACCCATTACCCTGAAAATCTACAACAAAATGGATAGGTATAAGCATTTATTTTGGCTTTCTAGAATGAATATTTAAGGCTAGCAGAATAGCTCTAGTAGAAAGAAACTTATTGTATGTAGAATATTTCAAGAGAATAAATTAAGGATAAATAATGGAATTAGAAAAGCATCACTTTGCAATTTCTAGTGAAATGACTGCTTCAAGGACCCAAGCAATGGTTATCAATGGATGGCAAATCACCGGGAAAAGTTGGTGGGAAACAACTGCATGAGCTGTCATAAGCACATAATCTTGTGAAGTAAGACTTTCAATGGTTTTAAGTATAAAAATAAAATTGCTTCTACCTAGTTATAAATTCCAGAACACTATACTCTGATGCTTCTAAGCCAAATAAATTGTCCCAATCAGAGGTAGCAACCGTTTTATATCACCTCATTATATTGATGCTAGTAGAAAGCAGCATTTTGAGAAGAATATCTGCAGTGTACTCGATGTGCACTCAATCTCCATTATCAATGATTTTTTTCAAAACTCTATTTTTAGCCAATATTCTTAAGATGCTAAATGTAAAAATATGAATTGAGTTTGCAGGACTTGTGCTTTATGCAATTACAACAACTGTAGCTTGAAGTATTTAAGATATTTTCAAAATACTTTTGTAATTCTGTTTAACAATACAGTTCTCAGTATAAAATTAAAGTGGGCAGATATCCTTTGTTTTACTATTTCTGCTACCACAATGGCCCTTTTTCTAGTTGTAAGACCAAGTGTGAGTTGGAACAGACTGATAGAGAGAAAATTGCTTTGTGGAGAGAAAATTGCTTTACCTAAAATTTTATAATTTATTTTGCTGATAGGACTGTATGAAATTTTGAGCAAAAAAAAAATGATGCCCTGTTTATCTTCCTGGGAGAAAAGGTCTTATTATAAATATTAACTTACCAAATATTTATTGAGCACCCAATAGCCTGGTTGATGGTGATAATTTAGAGTAAAATACACATATAAATGACACACCAGTATTCTTATTTCAGAGAAATATGGCTATACTGCACCAATAAATGAGTATTTTCATTTCAGTGAAAGTGCATTTGAGTTAGCAAAACATAGTGTATTCTGATCATGTAAATGATTAGATAATCCTTAATTACAAATTATATTCATATTTCTATCCTGGATCCCCATTACCTGCACAAGAAACCTTTTATCAGGAGCACATCAAAATCCTATTGATCCTGATCTTCCTAGGATAGGATTTGAGAGTTCAGAGAATGAAAAGAATGGTGGGGTAATAAGCCATTTTGCATGTAAAGTTTCATCATTTGCTACTTCTAATTTTGATACAATTTCTACCCATGAGAACCAATTTTAGATATAAATTCTATG